GGAAGGCCGTAGAAGGGTGGGAGGCCAGTAATTGTTGCAGCAACCAGTTATATATCCCCCGACCTCCGACGCCCGTTTTTCACACTTCCGGACTAATGTTGAACACCTTGGGGCCACTTTCTTGAACTTTGGACCACATATCTGTGATGTACACACATGGGAGGACCTTAAAAAGTGGTGGCCGGCCACTATTTCAACTTGACTGTTTTGACCCCTAGCCGGCCGGCTGGGGGGTGTGGCCGGCCGGCCACCTGAAACAAAAATACCTGGCCGGCCATGATCCTCACACTGTTCACTTTACAGCTGCATAGCTTTATCCCCCAGAAAATATCTCAATCCGGGGGATATTTTGTGGGGGAAAGCTTGCCTATTTTTTCCCACCTTTTGCCCCTCCTTTACTCTCCCTTTTTTGTCCATATAATCAGCTGGCAACATTGCATACAAGGGTTAGAAAATTTGCTCCTCAAGCTTGAATACAAAACTCCCTCTCCATCTCCCTCATTTCCTTGAAAACCTTCAAGCTCTACACTACCATTTCTTCTACACCACCAAGCTCTACCACCACCACTCCAATCCAGTATGAAGGGGAGTAATTCCAGCAGCTAAGAGGCAACAAATTTGGTCCAAGAAGCAACAAAAGATTTGGTCTTCAAGGGTGAGTTGCAATTTCCCCTTTTTGGCCCATTTCTTGTATCTTTTGCAAGCCATACATGCTTATTGTTTTGAGCTCCGACCAAAACTGAAAAGGTCATTTTTTTGAGCTCATTTTCATGTCTCATTAAGGGCTCAACCCTGTTTGAGCCCCCCATCTTGCACTTGCTTCAATACCCTCTTTGTATGTCAATATTTTGCATGCTTTTTCTAACCTATGTGTGGTCTATTTTGAAGTTTCTCATGAACTATAAGTAGGCTTCTTTTGAGCCCCTCTTCAACATTGAAGAAGGGCTCATCTTTGTTTGGGACCTCCATGTACCACTTGTCTTTATATCCATCTTTGGTTCCCTATTCTTGTATGATTTGGCAGCCTATCTTGGTTCCATTTTTGGTCATTTTACAGAGCTATAAAAGTTCTTATTTTGGCCCATTCTTCATGTTTCATTAAGGGCCTTTCATGTTTTGAGGTATATTTTATACACTTCATGTTATATCTCTCTTTTAATCCCCATTTTTGCATGATTTGTTAGCCTATCTTGCTTCGGTTTTTGGCCTTTTTACAGTACTAAAAATAGTCTTATTTTGGCCCATTCTTCATGTTTCATTAAGGGTCTTTGGTTGTTTGATGAATATTTTGCATACTTTGTGTTATAGCCACTTTTGAGCCTCATTTTGCATTGCATTTCTAGCATGTTTGTATACTGTTTTGGAGTTTTTACAGTTGTTTAAATAGTCATATTTTTGGTCCCTCTTCAATGTTGTAGAAGGGAATTTTTCAGTTTGGGCTTTGCGTATACCACTTGCCTCTTTGGCCACCTTTTGGCCCTTTTTCTTGCATGGGAGTGCAGCCATACCTGTGTTTGTTTTTGGGGTTTTTACAGTTCTGTAAAATATCATATTTTGGGCCCCTCTTCAACTTTGTTGAAGGGCCCTAACCTATTTGGAGTTAGCAGCTATGAGTTGCTTCATAATCTCATGTTTAGGGGCCATTCTTGCATGCTAGTTTTGCACTGTTTTTGCTTGCTATTTGGCCATGTTTTGAACTGGAAAAATGCTTAGTTTGAGGCTGCCTTGCTTCTGTATTTTCACCTCATGTACCAATTATGCATGCTTTGTATAGCTGTAATTCATTCTATGTGCCTAATTTTGCATTTCGGGAGAGATTCCATGCATCGGGTGTGTTTTCGCCTTATTTCGGGGCTGTTTTCCCCCACATTTCATTGTTGAAAATCCATGTTGCATTTTACATATCATTTTTTCCATATTGCATTACGTATGCCATTGCCTCGGTTTGCGTGCCCATGTGCACGCATTTCGAGGCACTTCATTTTCATCTATCGGCCTCTTACGTGAGTGTGGCTGAGGCTCTCTCATGTTAGTGTAAGCCCATATCGCATTTCATATCATTTGCATTGTATATGTCATTTTCTCAGTTTGCGTGCCCGTGTGCACGCATTTCGAGGCATCTCATTTTTCACAGCATAGTGCATACTAGGTTGTATCTTAGATCGCATTTATGCATTTCCTTGGTTTGCGTGCCAGCGTGCACGCATTTCGAGGCATCTCATTTCATAACATTGTGTATGTTAGAATTGTATCTTAGTTGCATTTCATGCATGTTATGCATTATTGCATCGTGTTCGGAATAGGAGTTAGCCCGGGCACGGGAAACGAGGTACATTTCGTACTCCGAGTGACGGAATGTGTCTCAATTCCCAGTCACCGACACTCCGGATTATCCATGATGGAGTTAGGTTTTAGCTGTGTTTTCGTGTGCATTCATTCTATATTGAGTTGTGCAATTCGACTCCTCGGCCATCATGCCTCGGTATGCGTGATTGGTGGCACGAGGATCGAGGCATGCATATATTTGTGAAATTACATTGCTATGCCCCTTTCCTGCTCTCTGTTGCAGCAAAATGAAGAATCAGTAACTTTTCGGGACTTGGCACGCGTTTCAAGAATAACAGCTAAACAGAGGCTAATTGGGGCATCCCGGTGGATTTTCGCGCAAGACAACCCGGACATGCATCATCCATCAGAAGCAAGGCAGTCCCTGGCTTGCATGCCAGTTTTATTTACTGTCTTATTAATTCATTAATTAATTAGGAATTTGTACATATTTGGACTGTATTATTTGGACTGTAATATCTTTTATTCGGGACTGTATATTATTTGGACCTCTGTGGTGAGGCAATATTTAATAAGTGTGCGTGTGTGTGTTGTATGTCTTCCAACCCCACGTCTTTCTCCCTTTTATTTATCCGCTTATGGTGGTTAGATTAGGGCATATTTCAATTACATACAGTATGATAGCATGTTTCATTTCATTCATCTGTATTGCACGCACCGGGCTCGGGGCATCATACTAACTGCATCGTACTTTCAATTCCAAATTGAAATTTGTTAGCTGTTGCATCCCATATGCCATCTTTTAGATAGCGGGCCTACTATAGATTGCATTTTTGCATGTGTGTGCATCAGGCATTCCTGTATACTTAGGATTCATGCATGATTTCTAATACAGTTTTTTTGTTTTGGCTTGGAGTACTCGGTAAGCTTTATGCTTTAGCATCCTTGCATGCGTGTGAGTGCTGCCATGAATAGCATGCTTACCATAAGGCTATATGCTTATGTGATATAACTGCCTAAATGCCTGTGGGTGAAGGTTGGGTTACTTAAATTGGAATAAATCATCAAATGTTTCAAGCCCTACCTGCGGGTAGCAAACCATTTTCAAAAAGGAACATGAAATGTTTTGTTCCAATTCAGGCGATCTAGTCTATACTTGTATGCTGTGCGCATCACATAGTAATCTAGGCTAAAAACCGGAATAAGAACACACAATGTTTTCAAAAATAGATATCATGGTAGTAGAGGCCGATTTTTGATCGGGCGAGCGGGGGTGCTCATGAAGTGACCTTCCCCAATCGTACCCAAGTTTCCGAGCCGAGGCAACTTTGGTGATGACGGACACGTGGCCTTAGGCACAAGTTAGGGTTTCCTAAATTCTTTCCAAAATAAAATATTTAGGTGGCGACTCTGTATCTGGCAAAGCAGTCCATGTTTGGCACTTCTTTCAAAAATCTGTTTTCTCAAAATGATTTGCCGAATTTGGACTCTTTGCTTCAGACTTAGAACCGTGACCACGAATCGAGTCCGAGCTGTAGCGAGGTCCCCCGCGGGCTGGTTACAGTTTCTGGCGACTCCGCTGGGGATTTAGAGAACTTGACTCGAACTCATGATATCGGTTTTTTACTACACTTGTGTGTTTCTTTGCGTTGCATTTGCATTGGTGCGCCTAGGACACCGTGTTTGCCATCTACTATTCCTGAGGTTTGCCGGAGGCTTGTCTTGTCAAGGCATGACCATAAGGCTGACCGGTTGTGGGCTCTGCCAGTATGGGAACACAAACCCCGGTTTTACCGGGGCACCCTCTTTGACCATTCGACCTAGTGCATATTCGGATCCATAGTGACCATTCCAAACTAGGACAGGTTGCTTACCCGTTTATAGGTTGTTTGAAACCACTCTGTGCGTAGTGAAACCCTAGCTCCTGACAAAATAGGACAGGGAAACCCTACCCCAACATAGGGGTGCTTTGGCTATCACTTATCTGTTATGTGCTTTAGAGTGCGTCTCTACAGGAATGCATGTATCAGTATATGAGTTTGGGCATCAGGCCTGTGGGCATCAGTTCAGTATTGTCAGCATCAGGCCTGCGGGCATCAGTTCAGTATATGAGTCTGGGCATCAGGCCTGCGGGCATCAGTTCATTATTATGGGTATCAGGCCTGCAGGCATCAGCCAGTATTTGAGAATTAGTTATCTACGGGTATCAGATTCTGTTTTAGGGGACAGTAATACAGGGATAATAATTAGTGTTTGAGGACAGTGTGTATTCAGCTTATTGACTGTGTGTTGTTATGCCCGGCTGTGTGTCATGCATTTATTTTAAGCTGTTATGCTGTTCGTTTATCTGTTTATTTATTTCCGTATTGCTTTATTTATCTTTTGTCAGGGTCAGTTCTAGCACAATTGCTTCAAACCCAGCAGATACCCCCCAAGCACTTTGGACACGAGGTCGCCGACTCAATCGATCTGAGGATCTAATTGACGGACAGCCAGTGTTCCATTCTCTACCCCCCGTTGTCAAAAGAAGGCAGAGAAAGCGTAGTGTATCTGAACAGAGATCACCAGAACAGTGGTTTCCCCCATTAGTGGACAGTCGGATTGAGATCCCCATCGTTGCTACAGAGCTAAATCTGCCAATAGTTCAGATAGATCAAAACAGTGTGGCGGCACCAACAGGAGTTGAGGAGATGATGCACCAAATGCAAGAAACCATGCGGGCCATGCAGCAGGACGCCGTTTGCCAGGATGAACTCGCTAAGCAACAAGCCGAGATTATGACCCAGCAGGCTGAGCTGATTACCAGACTGCAACAACAGAATACAGCGTCTGCTTCACAACAAATTCCTCCTCCGGTAGGGGCTCCATTACCTGAGCAGACACCTGCTGTTCAGAACGCACCTCCAAACACCCGGAATACTGCGTCGACTATCCAGAACCTGCAAGAGGACACGAACCTCCCAACGGGGCCAGCTCCGCCCCCGCTTCCACCACAACTGTCCAAGGTCCATGCACCCAATCACCCGGACTCTCCCTTCGAGTTCGAGGTTGATCATACAGCTCTGAAATTGAGCAAACTTGAGAAGCTCTTCAAGAAATCCCAAGGGGTCAAGGCTATGCCGGATATCAAAGACGGATATACCGAGGAGGCCGTGACACTCCCCGATAGGTTCAAAATGCCACAAATCGACCGCTTTGACGGGTCCGGCGACCCCATGGTCCATCTCCGACTGTTCGCAGACATCTTGCGGCCAATGGGCCTAACACGACCACAGAAGCTTTCACTATTCGGCCGAACCCTGTCGGGTGTGGCCGCCCACTGGTACGCAAAGTTACAAGATGAAGTGAAGAAGAATTGGGATGAAATGGCTGAGCTGGCGACTCTGCTGGGGATTTAGAAAACTTGACTCGAACTCATGATATCTGTTTTTGACTACACTTGTGTGATTCTTTGCATTGCATTTGCATTGGTGCGCCTAGGACACCGTGTTTGCCATCTGCTATTCCTGAACGGTTTGCCGAAGGCTTGTCTTGTCAAGGCATAACCATAAGGCTGACCGGTTGTGGGCTCTGCCAGTATGGGAACACAAACCCCGGTTTTACCGGGGCACCCTCTTTGACCATTCGACCTAGTGCATATTCAGATCCATAGTGACCATTCCAAACTAGGACAGGTTGCTTACCAGTGGGGGAGGAGAAGCTTAATTTATAAGTCAAAAATCAACTTATGTTCACAGTTATAAGCTATAAGCTGTTAAGGTATAAGTTATAATCACTTTCATTATTAAGATTAACTTGCCATAGCTACTTACCCTAAAAAAAACTTGACATACCTAGTAATCAAGAATATATGATTAGACGTAATGTATTTTGGTAACTAGATCAAAATTTTCAAATAATTGAAAAGGTATGATGAATCTTTGAAAACTTTCTATGACAATTAATAATTAATGATAACTTTCCAATTTTTCAAATATTCATCCTACCTTTTCGGGTGACCACAGTGGGAGTCATACCTTTTCAATCTTCCCCTCTATATAAAAGTAATGACAATCTTAATTCTTTTGTGAGTTATTTTTAAAGAAAGAGACAGGTTTCTCTCTCATATCATATATATACATATAAAGTATACATGTATTCATAGATGTTAATATGCATACCTTTTCTTAAAAATAGAGGCATGAAAACACTACGAAGTCTCCCTGTCATAAACTTTATAGTACATTCTAAATAATTTGAATTTTGTTTATGTTTTGTATTACATATCATGTTGTATTCATTTTTTTTTTTTTTTAAATTTTTGAATTTTTTTGTTTGTTTATGTGTTTTTACTATGAAGAACTCATGATAAGTATATATGAATTTGCAGATGGGTAGAGCTAAACAAAACATGGAACTCATACGCAACGACAAGACTCGATATGTGACCTTTCAAAAGAGAAAGAAGGGGTTGAAGAAGAAGACTTACGAATTAAAAACCCTCTGTGATGTTGAAGTGTGTTGGATTATTTATGGTCCTAAGATCAATGACCGTCCTACAGATGATCAAGCAGAAATCTGGCCCCCAAATCCCGACGTAATTCAGCACTTGATCGACACCTACAAAAACCTATCTAGTGAAGATCGCACGAGGAGAACCCTTGGTTTGTCCAACTTTTTTGAGGAAAGGAATCAAAAGATTGAAGACACGCTTGTGAAACTACGAAAGAAAAATGACGAGGCTAGGTACTCTACGTGGGATGATCGATATAATGGTTTGTCGAAAGAACAACTCAGAGAATTTGAAAGTGTTTTGGAGGGAAAGCTTCAAGATGTGAAGGCTAGGGTTGCATTCATGAAGGGTATTGATCAGAAATTGTCAGTAGCATGTATCGATGACAATTCTCACACTCAAACCATCCAAAACCAATCTTATTTCATGCATGGAGGCATGTTTGGGACAAAAGTTGACAACGACATCGCTAATTTACAGTACTATTTCAATCAGGCTCAGGTTTATGCAAATTCCAAGGCGAATCCAATGATGATGACGACGATGATGCCAAGGAACAATAATCAGTATTACAATAAACTTGGCGGCGTGTCTAGCAGTAACTTTATGTGCAATCCACTAGATAGGCCAATTTATTATGATCCGATGATGTTGGAGAATGCTATTGTTAACAATCCTTTGCCACCTGTGGGCTATTGCAATCCGAGCATACAGACAACGTCGCCATCATCTAGTGTGCATGCTTCTCAGTTGGACAAGTACTACAAGCCAGGGATTTTCAAATGAAGAACTAGAAATGCATTTAGTTATTCTAATGTGGTAGTAGAATTTGATTAGTTTTGGAAATAGAAATATCCAGTATTTTTCTTTATTTGTTTTCTTTATTTGTTTTTAGGGTTCTGATCGATTGATTTTAACTATTTATATAGATTTATGAACTTAATAACTTCCAATTAACATTCATTTTTATACAAAAAAATGCAAATGGATAAATTTTGTTGGACTCTGGATGTGGAAAAAAAGAAAGAAAGAAAGTTGATTGCATAACAATGAGATCAAAGTACACTATAATTCAAGTTGCTTTCATTCACTTCAATAATTTAGTGTCATACTATTGACCAAATGACTTTGGAAGAGAGCTTTGGTTCAGTAACTTTGAAGTAGATCAAAAGATGTTAACAATCGATCATAATCACTCAACAGCCCTGTTTGGCGCACCTTGTAGGCGTGATTATTTTTTATTTTTTATTTTTGCAAAGGTTAAGCTATGAGAATGTTTAGTGCAATTTTACTTATAACTTACCAATAAATAGTTTAAATAAATTGTAAAGAATTAATTATTTAAAAAATGAGAGAAAAGTACTTCCTTTAACTTTTGCCTTTTTATTATAAACTTTTAGCTAGTAACAGGCCTGGCCTTGAGATTTTCGGAACCCAAAGCCAATAATGAACTAATAAATATCACTAGATCATTTGGGATCTTTTACATTTTTTTTTATTCGATCAAAAATTTTTTTGAAGGTAAAGAACAAAAAATTTGTATCAAAAGAGTTAGGATTAGGAATTAGATAGGGAGAGAGAGTGGGTCCTTTTAATTTGAATGAGCCTTTTAATTTTTCAATGAGTCAATTTATTTTAAGTTAGTTTGGGTATTCTTTAATTTTTTTTAGACTTAAAATATACCTAATATATTACACTAAATTATAATAGAAGGGGGCCCCTTTTTTGGGTATATTTTGAGGGGTTCTAAGTCATGGCCTGGTGGGTCTATACCCAGGGCCGGCCCTGCATATATACAATCATTTGGAAGTGTATATTGTAGCATTTTACTTTAACAAAATATATGTTAATATATCTGTTTATAACCATAGAATATGTAATGGACTTCTCCATTTTATTCATATAATAGAGAGGATTTTGATCATTTTTAAGTTTGAATATGAAGTACATGATGCGTATCTTTTTTGATATTATGATATATGAATTTGAAGTTACAATCAAAATTGAGTGAGTACACATTACATTATTATTTGAAGGAGTACACATTATACATATGTTACTACATATTGACCCTTTTGTTAGATGTGTATGAAGAACTTGTGTGTGGTCTTTTTTCTACATTGATTTGTATACAAAAAGCCTTCTATGATTTTTAAGGTAATGACATGTGAAATTGTTGTTGGAAAATTGGTTTATATAAGGCATATTTTGGGCCAACTTTGAGCCCAAAATTGAGTGGACCCCAAACGTCTTTTGGGGTGGATCCGAAGAGGTGAAGTGTTTCTTGCCGCGTGACAAGTCACACGGGAAAGACGGAACGTCAAAACCATTTATGAGTAAATGGGAAGTTGACGTCGTTTTTCGAGTCTAACATTAATTTTTTAAATAAAATTCTTTTGAATTTTTTTTATAAAAAATTATTGTGAGAATTTAATTTAATTTTTGATTTCCTAAAGTGGTTTCTTAAAATAGATTAAACTACTCAAATAGTTTAAATTCCAAACTGTTTGTTAGTTTTAGACCATTCAAGTGATTTAAATATTAAAATCAAATAGTTTTGAACTTTGCCATAACCAACGGTTCTTTTTGCAATTGTTGTGTGAAAAAGCTATTTCATAGGAGCAACGGACAGATACAGTTTTATAACTGCATTTCTGTTTGAAATTTTAGAAAGTTTCTGTTGACTTTTTGTTGCACCTGTTCTGCCTTACCACACCTGTTCGGGGCTTTGATATTTTGCCTATAAATATTCCATAAATCCAGCAGTCTTTGGTGAATAAAAGTTCAATCTGAAAATCAGTCTAAATTTGGTCTCATTGCTGTCCAGATTTTTTTTACTTATGCATTATTCTTCATTTTAATTTTAGGAAAAATATTCAGAGAGTTAGAACACAAGTTTGGTTCGCCGAACAAATTATTTGGAGTACTACTACAATTTGTGAAGATCATTGTATCTTGGGAGATAGACGCCACTCATCCGTAAGTACCATAACGGGGCGAATCTATCTTAAGGACAGAGTGTCATACGCTCGACTTGGTCTTAATTTTTATTCGGTTCGATAAATAAATCTGATATGTTATTTATTTATTTTGTTTGAATTTATTTCAAGTTATTTTTATATACACAGAAGATTGTTCCAACAATCTTAAGACAGATTCGAATTATTCTGTTTACAGAATTTTTCGTTTGTTTTCCTTTTCCATTCTTCGTAAATAATTTCGGAAGAAAAATTATTTTCTGTGAATTTACAAAATAATATTCTTGTTGGAAAAACAAATAGTGGTTATATGCTATTTGACAGATAGTAGTAATATACTGTCTCTTTTCTTTGACAACAACTAGTAGTACGATACTGGTGTCATTAACAATTCAGAATATATTTTGAGTATTCATCTGAATTTGTAATAGTTAGTTTAATCCGGACATTTGGACATTTACCCGGACCCTCTTGCGCAAGGACAAATATGTAATAAGTTGTATGTCTTCCAACCCCCATTTCTTTCTCTCTTTATTTACATGCTTATGATGGATAGCCTAGAGCATCATGTTTTAATTAGCATTTTTCAGGACTTGCATCCATTCGTCTTGCATACATAAGGTTTCAACTCATCATACTAATCAATGTTAATTTCAAATTCCTTAATTGAATAGAATTTAATTCTGTGAATTTGGTTTAATTTTCTGTGTAGTGTAAATTCTAATTATAATTTTGTTTTATATATTAGAATTGATGGCTATTGAAACAAATGCCCAAACAAGTGCTACTGTGGTGGCTGCAATGACGCCAACCCCCTCTCATGTGATGACAGTACCAATAAATCATGGTGGAAAGCCAGAGAAGTTCTTAGGAACTGACTTTAAAAGATGGCAACAGAAAATGTTGTTCTATCTTACAACTCTGAACCTGGCTCGTTTTCTCCGTGAAGATGCTCCTATCCTGAAAAAGGATGAAACCGACCGGCAAAGTGGTTGCTGCGGTTGATACTTGGAAACATGCCGATTTCCTTTGCCGGAATTATGTCTTGAACGGACTTGACAACACATTATACAATGTCTACAGTCCAATCAAGACAGCAAAGGAACTTTGGGAATCGTTGGAGAAAAAGTACAAAACGGAAGATGCCGGCTCAAAGAAATTTGTGGTTGGCAGATTCTTGGATTTTGTAATGGTTGATTCAAAAACTGTGATCAGCCAAGCTCAAGATTTCCAACTCATCCTGCATGACATTCACGCAGAAGGTATGTCTCTCAGTGAATCCTTTCAAGTTGCAGCCTTAATTGAAAAATTACCAAAAGGCTGGAAGGAATTCAAGAACTACCTCAAACATAAGCGCAAAGAAATTTCTATGGACGAGTTAATTGTGCGTTTAAGGATTGAGGAGGACAACCGCAATTCTGAAAAGTGGGCTGGTAAGCTTCCTATAGAGTCTAAGGCAAATATGGTGGAACATGCTTCAAAAACCAAGAAACGAAAGTCTTCTGGAGAAATTTCATCACAAGGCTCTAAAGGGGGGGAAATAAAAAGTACAAGTTTAATGGCAACTGTTACATCTGTGACAAAGAGGGACATCGGGCCAAAGATTGCCGTAGCAAAGGCAAAAACAAAAGAAGAACAAGCAAGAAGCCTGCTCAAGCCCACATGACTGAAGTGGACAATATTTCCAATGGTGTCGATGACATCAATCTTTCTGCAGTTGTTTCCGAGGCAAATCTAGTCGGAAATCCTAAAGAATGGTGGGTAGACACTGGTGCTACTCGCCATATCTGTGCCGACAAAAAGATGTTCACATCTTATTCTTCAGTGGACAATGGTGAACAACTCTTTATGGGCAACTCCTCAACTTCCAAAGTTGAAGGACAAGGAAAGATTGTACTCAAGATGACATCTGGAAAGGAACTCACTCTCAACAATGTGCTGCATGTACCGGACATTCGCAAGAATCTTGTTTCCGGATCTTTGTTGAGTAAGAACGAGTTTAGGCTAGTATTTGAGAGTGATAAATTTGTACTTACTAAGAATGGATGTATGTAGGAAAATGTTACATGTCTGATGGCCTTTTCAAGTTAAATGTAATGACCGTTGTACCCTCAGTTATTAATAATATTACATCTTCTTCTTACTTGCTTGAGTCTTCAAATTTATGGCATGGTAGACTAGGACATGTTAATTATGGATCTTTACGTAGATTAATTAATATGGAATGTTTACATAAATTTGACATTGATTCAAATAATAAATGTGAAATTTGCGTTGAGGCAAAATTATCAAAAACTCCTTTTCATTCAATTGAAAGAAGTACGGAATATGCTATTTGACAGATAGTAGTAATATACTGTCTCTTTTCTTTGACAACAACTAGTAGTACGATATTGGTGTCATTAACAATTCAGAATATATTTTTGTGGAATTTTTTCAGAAATTAATTTTGGGTTTTAGAAATTATTTTTTGAGTTTTCATTAATTAAAATTCTGTTTCAGTATTTTAATTATTGAAGTGTTACAAAA